GACTAATGAATTTATTTAACAGATGACATCAACGAAATGACGTGCAAACATATCAAAAGGGCAGCAAGGAAGAAAAAAGTGAGGGTTGAATGAAATGAAATAAAATAAAATTACGGAAGATCGAGAATGCGAAATTATTGCAATGAAGAGTTGCAAAAGTTTCAATCTATGATTTTGCCTCAGTTAAGCATTCGCTAAGTAATGATAATTGAAAAATTAAAATTATAATTACAAATTAATCATTGCAAGAGTTTTGCTTGACACCATTACAATGATAATTGCTAAAATTTTTTAAAAAAATTTCAAATACTTTAAGTGTTTATTAGTTTTTTACTATTTAACATAAATTAAGGAATTATAGGTTTCTGATGAAATTTCATCAATAACGATATATATCTCTAACTGGAAAATTTGCCAATTATAGAAGAAATTTCTGAATAAAAAAATTCTATCATTCATTTATTTCAGTAATACTGTCGCAATCATTTTTGGTTATTTTTTTCGATTTTTAATTAAATTGAAATTTTGACTGCATCAATTCTCTTTTCTTATGTTTCTAAGTTTTTTTCCAGGAAAAAAACAAGAATTCATGGGAAAATTAAAAAAAGAAACGGAAAGGAAAGTAAAGAGTGAAGGAAAGAAAAAAAAAGAATTTAATTTAATGTTGAAGACATATTTAAAAATTTGACAAAATTTGATTTATTCAAAAATCTCACAAAACTTCGAAAAATGTCAAATGAGAAACATAAGGAAGAAAAAATGAATTTATAAAAATGGAAGAAAGGAAAGATGAAGAAAAATGGCTGAATAAAATAAATGAAAACTTTGAGTTTTATGTGAAAATTGTAATTATCTTTGTTATCACTGTATTCATCAGTATTTCCTTTCATTAAAAAAAATTTTTTCTTATTTTAAAATTACGAAATTTTACAGAATTTTTTTTTTTGATTTCTTACATTCTATTTCTTCGGATAAAAGAAGAAAAAATGCAAAAAAATTTACCATCACAATGTTTTTCAGGCATTGAAGTATGTTTTTTTTTTCCATTTTTTTCATACATTTCAAAAATGATCAGCAATTATTTACTTTCGGATTTGTAAGAAAATTTTCTAATAATGCAAACATTAATTCTAAAATTTGTGCTGTAAATTTAATAATAAGTTATATTAATTTAAGAAATTTCTGAAATTATTCCAATTGTAGCAAAAGAAATTTCGAAAATTTGTTAACAAATTAAGCGAAAGTTATATATTTGTTGATGGTTTCGAAAAAATTAAACGATTTTAAGCTATAATAAGGAGATGAAAAACAAATAAACGATATTTTTCTTTGCTTTGATAAATAAATTTTTTTTTTTCAAAATGAACCAAAGATTTGGCTTTGCTCTTTTTTTTACTTTCTCATCAATAGGACCATTTAGATGACTTCTTCATTTCATAAATAACAATCCAACCCAATGATCCATTTTAGCTTTTAAATAGTTTTCATTCATCTGGAAATGTTTACTTAAGATTGGGGTGATAGCAAGGTAGTACATGAGATATTATTATAGCAAAAAATTATAATAACTGTGTAACACATAAATATGAATAATATTAATATAATCAGATATAGTGTATGATTTTAGATTTAAATTATGTAAAATATCACTGTTAGTAATAATGATAATATTGGTTAGGTAATATGTAAATTAACCTTTAAACAACATTGATTAAATAATGTAAAACGTTAAAAGTAAGTGATTGTAATTAAGTAACATATGAAGTGAGCATAAACAACGATATCGAATAATGCGATACATAACCGTTCTTTCACGTACTTCTAATTAACATTGTTTCTGCAATGTTTAAGCATCATAATTAATTAAATGATAATTGCATGATAAGTAACAGTAATTGCGAGAAAGTATATTGAGCAGATAATATATGGTATTAAATTTAAATAGTGTTAATTGATGTAAAATTTAAATATGTTAATTAATGCAAATTGAATTTTAAGGAATTTAACAGAAAATTCGTGCATAACATATTTAATTTCATTCACAACTGATATTACTATCAGTTTACTGTCAGTTGTGAATAAAATTAAATATGTTATGCATGAATTTTTTGTTAAATTCCTCAAAATTCAATTTTGTGCTTAATTATTATATAGTTGCAGGATTTTTCGATTGATTTATATAAAATTACATAATTTATTACTATTTTTTTTTTTAATCAAAATATGATTGAAATATATTAGATAGGTAATTAATAATATTTGGTCAATATCGGATATTTGCAGATTTCATAGTTATAATTTGATATTGTTATTCAAATTGCATATCGGTAATGAATGATTTGAAAATTTGAAGAAATATCAAATAAATGTATAGAGCACAAAAAAAAAAAACGGAGGGAATTGGTAATTTTTAATATAACGGCGAATAGTTAAAAGATTTGAAATGTGTGATAGAAAAAAACTGTGAATGATAGGAAAGAAATAGTTTTAAAGCTTTTCAAAAATAAATAAGTTTCAAAGTTACATAAATCATATTTTTCATAAAAATTCTCATAACTTGATACAAGTTATTTTAAATTTGAAATTGTAATGCAAAAGAAATATATTTGTCATCTGAAATTTGATTAATTTTGTACGACGATCACATTCTGAAATATAATTCAAACAATCTTTTGAAATAATGCTTAATATGAAATTACATTTGAACTAGCAAACGGAAGGATGTAGCATATTATCAATGAAAATGAAATAATTAATAGCACGGTTAAAAAATAATATATATTTCACTTTTTTTACGAATTGATCACACAAAATGAATATTTTGAAAAGCGAATTGTTGCAAAAATTCAGTAAATTATTTTAAACAAAGGGAAATGCTGATGCATTCAATGATAAAACAAAGATAATCGCAATTTTCACATAAAACTCGAACATTTACATTTATTTCCTTCAGCTTTTTTTTTCAAATTTATTTTTTCTTCCTCTAATTTTCCCATTTGATATTTGTCGAGGTTTTTTTTTTTTTTGAGATTTTTGAATAAATCAGATTTTGTTAGGTCTTTTGATATGGCTTCAATATTTAATTAAATTTTTTATATTGTCTTTCCTTCACTCTTTACTTTCATTTTCTTCTCTTATTTTGATTTTCCCATGAATTCTTATCTTTTTCTTTGGAAGAAAACTTCGAAAATAGGAAAAGAAAATTGAAGCAGCTAAAATTTCAATTTAATTAAAAATTAAAAAAAAATCCACAAATGATCCTCAATTTGAAATAAATGACTGATAAGAATTTTCTTTCAGAAATTTCTTTTCTTTTGTAATTTCATCAATAACGCAATAATCTATTACTGGCAAACTTTCCAATAATAGATTATAGCGTTCTTGATGAAATTTTATCTGAAATGTTTAATTCCTTATAGGAAATAGTTTTTGTTAAATAGTAAAAACTAATAAACACTTAAATTATTTGAAATTTTTTAAAACCTCTAGCAATCATCATTGTGGTGGCGTCAAGCAAAACTTTTGCAATAATTAATTTGTAATTATAATTTTAATTTCTCAATTGTCATTACTTAGCAAATGTTTAACTGAGGCAATATCACAGGTTGAAAATTTGACAATTCTTCATTGCAATGATTTTACATTCTCGATCTCCATTAATTTCATTTTATTCCATTTCGTTCAACTCTCATCTCTCTCTTCCTTGCTCTCCTTTTGATACGTTTGCACATCATTTCATTGATTTTATCCGTAAAATAATTTCATTAATCGATTACAATTGCAAATGACAATTATGATATTGTTCACTTTCAATCTTTCCCGTTGGTCATTTGGTCCAATTTCATATCGATCGATTGATAATTTGAAAAAAAATAGTCGGAAACGTGTTTCAGTCGTTTTCCATTAAAGATTATTTTTAAACAATTTAATGATGCATTAACGATTTTTCGAGCAAAAAAGTGTGAAAAATGGAAAAAATGAAATAAAATTTAATAATTGAAAAATAATAAACTTTTACGAGAAATAAAAAAGATAAAGAAGGAAACAGAGAAGTAAAAGGTGAATATTAGAATGTGTTTTGAAGAAAGGCTTGCAGTTTTAATATTTCCAATGAATTAAATTTTGAGAGTGAGAAAGAGAGTGGAAGAGAAAGAAGGAAAGGGAAACATTTAAGGAATATAGGAGCAAAATGAACAGATATGTTTTATAGGTTAATGATGAACAGATATGTTTTATAAAAGTTAATAAAATTCCTTTTCAAATTATTATTGCTTATTTCGATTTGATTCATTTTATGCAAAAAACTTTGATTTTAATATTGGAAGAAAATAAAAAAAGAAATGCAAAAAACAAAAAGTGCAAATGTTATTAAAAGAGAGGAAAAAAAAAGAAGGAAACGATTGGAAAAAAAATATGATTATTATATCAAAGAGAATTGCAAAAAAGTTTTATTAAAATAAAAAAGTTTAGCTGAAAAAAATTTTTTCGACAAATGAATTATATTGTAAGTTTGCAAATTAGTTTAATAAAATTACTCAGAAGAAGTTAAGGGAAAAATATATTCTTAGGAAAATACGATAAAAAAGTATTCGATAGAGAAAACTGGAAGGATATTCTAAGATAAAACATAGTAAGAATAAGGATCAGAGCTAAGAAATAATTTGAACTTAAAATCAATAAAAAATGAAATTATCAGTAATTAAAAAAGCTGAATAAATTAAATAAATTTTTTTGAGAAAATTTTGCTAAGATAGTTGTTCTATTTGAATTTGAAATGATTAATAATGGTACAGTTAACGTTGATGAATGGGAATGAATTAGCATAAATATGTAAAAATTAGAGTTGTTTAAAGGATAGATATATCAATAGAATGTAATCAAATGCTAATTGTTACATTTGTTTTTGTAGAAGAATATTTGCATTAATCGGATCGATCAGGATCAAATTCAGGATCAAATTTAGGTTCACATTCGTCAGTGTTGACCCGTTTAATTTTGCTATGGCTTCAGCACATGATCAAAATGTTGTGCCAGATGGTATTACTTCGTACTGTAAAATTTTTTTTAGTTGGTCCGATTGCTTTTTTTTTTTGTTTTTTAACTTTGCAATTACTGAATTAAACTTTTTTTCGTTAATTAGTTTATGCTTCAAAAAAGTCTTCAAATATTTTATTGAAATTAAAAAATTTAGAAATTTATATTTTATCAGAAAACAATCACATATATGTATGAATAATAATAATAGCTCTGTTAACTAAAATTAATTGGAAGATTTATTAGTCAATTAGCACATCCATCAATACCTTCATATATATTTTAGTGAGCAAAAAAGAAAAAAATAAACAAATTTATCATTTAAAAACTTAATTTTTATACAAAAAAAAACCAATGATATATAGGTATGTGAACATATATTTACTATTTAATAATAATTCAGATAATTTAAATGAACCGAAAGATTTATTATCGGTTAATGAAATTATCAATGATCGTTTTGTTGTGGAGGAAAAAATTGGACAAGGAAGCTTTGGGCAAATTTACAGGTTTTTACATATTATTTAAATCTTGTTTGAACATATTTATCATTATTATTTTATATGCATTTGAACTACATATATGAAGTATATATATGAAAAAAAAAAGTTTGATTACTTCAAAAATTTGCAGTACATATTTGAAGTACATTTTATTGTGATTTATTTTTTATTTCCAATACTTTTATTTGAAAATTTATTAATTTTTAAAAAATTTTTATTCAAAATGCTCAATCTATTTGGGCTATTTAGCGCATAGCTTCTTTTTGATCAAATTTTAATGAAATATCTGAAAATTGAATCATTGCTTTGCTTTTTTCTTCACAATTTTCAAATTACATTTCAATTGAGTCAAAATTAGAAAAAAAAGGAAATGAAATAAATTAGAATAATTTGAACTGAAAATAAAAAAGAAAATGATTGGACACCCAAATTTTCATTCATTACAATAATCAATTTTGAAATTAATCACATGTTTTAGTCACAGAATTATTTAAACGCATTATCAATTTGTAAAATTAATATGAAATATTTTAGAAGAAAAAATGCAATCTCCATCCCATTTTAACATCAACCTCTTTGTTATCGATCAAAAACTTTTCCGATTCGTTAATTTTTATTTGGACCATAATTAAAATTCTGATGTCTTGATTTGTCGGAATATTTGAGATTGAATAAATATGAAACAAAACAAAAAAAAAAATGAAATAACTTTTTCTAAATGGAATTAATAGCTTTCGATAAGGATAGCTCTTCTTCACTACCACTTTTAGAGGAAAAGATAAACGTCAAAAACGATGTATAGCAATAAAGGTGGAACCGGAACAACGCGGTGAATTAAATAACTCGCCGAATGATCCGCGGCGTTTAGTCATCGAGCAGCAAGTCCTCATAGCTCTACGCAAAAAGGCAAATTTATCGTTCATTTTGGTATCATTTCTAGCAGAGAAAAGAAAATTATCAAATACGAAAAAAAGATGCAATTTTAGTAATTTATTAAAAATTTTTTATTTGCAAAGAAAGGAGCAAAATGTGAAACATTCATTGCTAATACTATAAAAATTTGGAATTTTTTGTTTTAAATCAAAAAAAAAATTAATTTTTATGAAAAAAATTGAAGAACTTTTGTTCTTTTTTTTGTGCTTTTTGTTTATTCTGAAAATTTTTGCAGCCAAATATACCAATGATTTATGCAAGTGGTAAAACCGAAAGGAATTATCCGTTCATTGTAATGCAAATGTTAGGAAAAAATTTGACAATATTACGGAAAGAACGAACGGAACCAAAGTTTACTTTATCAACGGCATTCCGGACCGGTGTACAGGTAATCTACCATTGTATTACATTTGTTGAATTTTCCTCACTTTTGAAATAACTTTTAAGCTTATTCTTATTT